CTATGCTTTTTAACGTACTAACTTTAGTAATGATGAACGAGGCTAGGCGGAAATTTACAAAGCTGATATCTCGGTTCATAGTGGACCAATTTGACTGAAATTTTCAACAAATTACCTTTACATTATCTAGTTTTTAACTATTATAGCGAGAACCGTCAGCTCTTTATCTAATCTCCCATAATGTATCTTTAATAATAATCCAATTATGTATCCAATAATTATCACGGACAATATGAAAATAATACACATCCATACAGAGCACGCTACACACTTAAAGAAACAAAAGCCTTGATAAGGAAAGTAATTCTTTTCAAATCGGTTCAAATGTCTTATCATTGCACCTGGAATTCCGTATAAGAATCTACTTAAAATTTCAAAATGCGACCCGTAAGGTGATATCGCACTTTAAACTGCATTATAAAATACACCTGATATTGCTTTCTGATATGGCTGAGTTATTTGAGGTGCCAGGTAGTTGTAAGAACAGAAGACAGTATATTTACATACGGCAAATTTGGTTTATTCGCTATATACCCGGGGACATTCAAATTGGGGCCTACCTGTTCGATATTTATAAATGACGACATTGCATTTCGTGCGATAGATTAAGGTCAATATTTTAATTTTATTAAATGCAACTTTATAAGTAGAGTGACTATATGGTATGCCAAGTATAGTCGAAAGAATAGAAGACAAGTTAAAAGACTTTGGTCCTTAAGACAATATTGGGTCTTCGAAAAATTGTTGGTTCACTCTTTCTATTGTGTCAAATCCCACATACTAATAAAAGCGGACGACATGTTTAAATGTAAAAATCAGTGATATTTTGGTAAAATCCTAACTATTGTCAAAATATCCATCAAATTCTATCTGTTTATTGACCTAAGGTTAGTAGACAAAATAAGGTAATGTTCTCCCCCCAGGTAGCATGACTATATGGTATGCCAGGTATAGTCGAAAGAATAGAAGACGTAAGACTTTGGTCCTTAAGACAATATTGGGTCTTTGAAAGATTGTTGATTCACTCTTTCTATAGTCAGATCCCACGTACTAATAAAATCGGACAACATGTTTATATGTAAAAAACAGTGATAATTTGGTAAAATCCTAACCAGTCAAAATATCCATAAAATTCTAGCTGTTTATGACATATGGTTGGTAGACCAAATAAGGTAATGTTCTCCCCCCAGGTCTTGGTAAATCGGAAGGTTTATTCCATATTTGGGATGGGAATTAACGTTATGGTTCAGCTTAATAATAAAGTTGAAGAAACCATTTAACCTGTAGTTTTATATATTACAATCACAAAGAAAACATAACACGGGAGTCCAATATTACTACAAAGTCAAGAAAAATGATTATGTGTCAATTCGGGTGTATGTTTCTTTGATGTAGCTCATCGACGTGTGTTCTCTAAGTATCAGAAATGAATACAGATTCTTGGAATGGATCTTCAACACTTTATTTCAGGAGCAAATAATTAACAGCAACAATTCAACAACTTATAATTTCCTATATCAGACCTCGAACGAGTATGTTCCCTAAGCTGGTCTCTCCAACTCATGAATCATCTTACATACATTTGTCTATTTATACAAATCAGTTACTTAGAAAGTGTTGACATAAACATACAATTATCGAAGGATTAAGACTTAAGGCATTTAAAACAATAGTTAGAAGAGACTTTCAACCACTTTAGTTGCCAGCCTGTCGTAATTTGACTTGACAGCTTAATTGCTGTCTTCCTCTAATGACTAACCAAACATTAATGAATATTAAAATATAGATTTGAAATTTAAAACAGAATTAAAAAATAATAAAATAACATATGACCTAGATATCGGTCATAGTTATATCACAGGACAATTCTGTAATTGCATAAAAACGGCTGTTACAAGTTCTGGAATGAGGATCGTTGGATTGTATGCGATGTAAATTTAGTGAAAAGCTAATTTTAGTTTAAATATATCATTTGTGTGGGAATTACCACTGTTCGGTTGGTTGTGTCATCTTATTTATCAATATGGAGATTTCTGTTTTATGGAAGGTAAGATGCACATATTACGCACCGTCACACAGTTTTTCACCCCAAACGTTAATTAACTCACCTCTCAGACAGTTTTGCACCGTTGCACAGTTTTTCACCCCGAACGTTAATTTACTCACCTCTCAGATAGTTTTTCACCCTTGTTAATTAACGCACCTTATTTACAATATTAACGCGGTAATACCGAGTAATAATCAGGAAATAGATGCACAAATAACAAGTCAGACAGCGAATTCTATAAGGGTTGTGGACAGATTCACCTGTTAGTAGTTCTCAGTGTTGGGTGTTATTGGGTAATTCAACGCGCCCCGTGGGTAAAGCAATTTTTAAGTTCTTTAATAGTTTTGTAACCGAAATCCTACTCTATGCCGACCTGAATTCCAACCATCCAATCACACTGTTGCTGCTGCATTTTGGTGCGCAACAGACCACAATTTTTTGGTTACAGCCCCAGCCTTTTACTCAAAATGTGAAATATGTATAAAATTTGTGGACCTTCTTGAGCTCTAGCTGTGGAGGGTTGTCCCATTTTCAGTAGAATAGGGTTTAGTATTCTACAGAATTTGGGGGTCATGTAGGAAATTACAGCTGTAAACTGTCTTGAGAGACTGAAATGCACTGACTGGGCTAAAGAAGATGGACTTACGCAATGCAGTGTGCTATGATGGAAATCTTGTCCAGTCAGTGGTGCTATGGTCTTTCCCAGGCTCTCCATCATGCACCACTGACAAGGGGAAACTGCGATTTGAAATTCCTGAGGAACTTTCTAATCAGACACCGGTACTGTACACGAGACCTTCGGAGTATCGCATTTTACCATGTGAAGAATAAGTTGAATCATCATATTTTACTGTTCTTCCGACCTCTATCCTTATATAAGTCTGTATATAAGACAGAGTTTTATTGTACTTGTAGTCCCAACTTATTACTGTGCTGATGTACGTCATAAAAATGACCCATAATATTAATTAAAGATACATTATGTTAGATTTAGATAAAGAGTTGGCCATTCTTGCTATAATAGCTCCAAAAAAAATAATGTAAAATGAAAATATTGAAATTTGTTTTCAAATTACTTCATTCTGAGCCAAGTTATCATTGTTTGTAGTTTTGACAAGATGTGTGAATTGTGGTAACCAGGGCACAGCTATATTCGTGACTTAGCCTCTCTTTCACATATTTAAATTAAATTTTTAAATGGCGAACCGTTCTAATGTAGTTAAAATCTTGAGTATCCGATGCCATCGAGGGTTGATTATGATCTTGTTTTGTTAATAAATGTCTAGTTAATAGTAGATACAGTGCACTCTGTCACATCCGACCTCTGATCACTCCGGCACTCTGTTACATCCGACACCAATTTCATGTCCCGATTTATTTCCTTATTACTTCAGCCAAAAAATCTCTGGGTAATTCGCCTCTGTATGTTCCGGATTACGACATCAATCAGCCGTCCCGTCATATGATTTCCATTGAATCGACACCGTATAATCCGGCCTTCAATCAGTGGGTGTGAAGCAAACACTTACCGATCAATTATCCGTGAGATTAAAACTGGATGGGTGTGAAGCCACAAAAGATTAACAAGCAATCACCAATCAATTATCTGTGAGATTAAAACTCGCTACCGTGGGTCTTTGTTGATTAATTTGATAATTTTAATCTCTTATATGACAGTTGTGACAAATGCTCAAGAATATCCACAAATTTTCCCCAAATTCACAGTCGTAAAAATTTTCCTAACACCTGTTGGAAACATTCGTTGCGCATGCTGATTGAACCTGAATAACCTATAAGTTTGGTCACCCTACGGATCTCTTCGAACCGTGTGACGACGACCTGAGGATGCTCGGTTCACAGTCCGGAACGTCCCAAATTGACAGAATTGCAATCGTGTGACGCGGAATTCAGCCTGTCACAGTTCTGTCAGTCCCGACGACAGAGGTGGTGTGACTAGAATTGTGACGTACTTAAACTCGACGAACAGGTTTCGGCTGCATGGTTGGATGAGATATTTATATACCCAGTCGATGCATTCTTTGTAGCCCAAAGTACCCATTTTCACTTGATTGTCACTATTTTTGGGATTGAGAGAATTCAATTCCGGAACATTCAATCGAGTACACCCATTATCAATGAACACTGATAGCAAAGACAAGAGTGCGATCAACTGAAGACGGCGAAGAAGATAAATGAACGACAGACTTGACCTATTCAAAATGCCTACGCATGTTAAATGAAATAAAAATTAATGTAATAAAATTTTGAATGTACAGAAAGGTTTATCATTTTTAAAGGGAATAACATTCTGGTGATTCGAAGTTCTATGTTCGAAGCTATATACATTATATAATAATACTTCCAGTTTTCGAAGTTACAATATTTCCGGTTTTGAGAAAACTGGTTATTCCGACACTCTGCGTAATCCAACATATTGTAACGATCCTGTACGATGTCACATGTGACAGAATGCACTGTATAACATTTCAGACCTAAACAAAGACCCGCAATAGGTAGATTTAGCTCTTGCATAATGTATGTTTAATGTAAAATGATCAGTTTATAAATGTAGGACAAACTTGAGTAATATTCCAAGTTCGTTCTTGGTTCAATTGAACCTGTTTTGATTTCAATATATCAGATAAACACTAGACATACACACGATATTTGTGATCGCACATGGTAATAATATTCCGATGAATGTTACAAAAAACAGCTGGCACCTATGTATGATTGGTTACTTTAACTGAAAACTAAAGTAGAACTCTCGCGAGACGTGAGAAATTACGAGAGATGGCACATGAAAATTTCCACTAGTGTCGACTCATACCCCCCAAAATATGGTAGCTAACCAGCCTCTGATTCAATGAGCAAAGGCTGATCCCAATTTGAGAGACTAGTTGAAACCATTTATTGAACGTTTTGAATAAAGCAGTGTATTTCTTTTAAATAGGGTCAATCTGTTTTGTGGAATTGGAAAGGAACAGATGAAGAACATTTATTAAACTTTTTGAATAAAGCAATATATTTCTTTTAAATAGGGTCAATCTGTTTTGTGGAATTGGAAAGGAACAGATGAAGAACATAATATAATCCATGTTAATTCTCCCAATTCAAATGTATGTATATTTAGTATTTTATTGTGTCCATCTGGCCACTAGTTTTGTCAATATGGCCGAACAATCCAAGATTTACCTGGAAAATAGTTTTGTCAACTATACTCCAAGTTGTATGTTTTCGGTGTCAATTATGATGAATTTGTGTCGATATATGCAACCAGCAATAAGAGTGCAAAAAATTTAATCAACGCTTGATAATGGATGGATCGATGTAATTGTTCAGATTCAGATTGTTTCTCCGAAGTTGAAGTTTTGTTGAAATCTTCATCACTTGCGCTATCACTGCCATGAACAAGTAAATCACTGACACGCACTGTCTAGATTGGAGCAGTTTCCAACCATTACCAATGGGAGAGTGTGTGATCTTAGACTTCGAGTAATTAAGGATTAAATATGCCCAAAAAGTAGCTCTGGTGATTTTAAGTTTGTAATACTCCTCAGGAGGTGGTAGCCCGCTAAAGTTTTTTGTCTGTCCGTCCGTCCGTTAGGGTAAGCAGAGATAAGCGATTTGATTGGTTGATGCTTTGGGACACGATAACTTTAGTTCTAATTAAGTGAGAGTGATGAAACTAGGTGGTTAGTTTCATTACATCAATACCATGACTAAGTTCGATAAGCAGAGCGATAAGCAATTTGATTGGCCGAGACTTTGGAACACAATAACTCTCCTTCTAATTGAGGTAAAATGTTCAAACTTGGCGAAGGTGTTTATTAGGTCAATGCCTTGATGGAGTATAAAGATGAGCATTTTCTGCTTAGGGTAAGTAGAGATAAGCAATTTGATTGGTTGATGCTTTGGGATACAATAACTTTAGTTCCAATAAAGTGAAAGTGATGAAACTTGGTGTATAGTTTCATTACATCAATACCTTGACTAAGTTCGATATTGAGCATTTTCTGCTGAGGGTAAGCAGAACGATAAGCAATTTGATTGGCCGAGACTTTGGAACACAATAACTCTCTTTATAATTGAGCTAAAATGTTCAAACTTGGTGTAGGTGTTTATTAGGTCAATACCTTGACTAAGTTCGACAATGAGCATTTCCTGCTTAGGGTAAGCAATTTTTGTCCGATTCTGATGAAACTTAAATCATGTCTTTATATCCCAAAGATCTCAGTCCTTTTTGATATTTGCGCATTTCAGACCATAACTTTCTGGATTATTGCCCCTGATTGTACAAAAAATCTCGTTTGTTTTTAGCTTGTTCTCTATCCATCTCTTGCAAAATGTGGGTGTATCTTGCCTGGCAGCCACTGGTTTCAGTCCTAGTCAGTGTTCGAATATCAAATATCCATCTACTATATCTAGTCTTTAATTCATGATTTTCAGGAACCATTAAATGTTATTGAAGGGGTAAAGTCTTTTAACAGTGGTAAACTCATGAAGAACAACAGTTTTCTATACACATTCGATGAAGAGGGTGCCTTTAGTGTAGCCTCCCAGGGTGCACCAGGATATTCTTGCAGTATTTACATCAAAGAATCAGGTCCGTTTCAGAAATCAATGAAGAGCATTGTATATAGTTTGATGAAGGGATGGTGTTTCAACCACAGACTAAAAACACTTATCAACATTAATGGGTTAACATAGGCTAGAATTAGTTCACGAAGAGGTCAGCTTCAGGAAATAGGATCAAAGCTTCCTTTCCCTTTAGTAGACTTCAACTTCAGATATTTCTTATGTTATGAAGGCTATGGTATTTTGAATAATACTTATAATTACTACAAAAAAAATAGGTGCACCTTACCTTTTACCATAATTCATGTTCATGTCAGTAATATTCCTCAGCCAGGGCTGGGCGTAGTCAAAGTTTTGGCTTAACTAGTTAAAAATAAACGAGTTAAAAAAGTCAAAATTACAATAGAACAAAAACACATAGCAAATACGTCTATAAATGAAAGATATTCATGTTTATCCAACATGACACAACAAAATTGACCAAAATTTTAAATCATATTTACTATTTTCGTGGAACGATTGCAGATGTCTTTCCCTTACATATACGGAGGACGTACAAATAACACTATACCTAGTTCTCAATGATATTTATTGTATAATTTAACAGCAAATAGATCATCAACACCGTACATTATTGACATGAATGGTGGAACAGCGAATCGTTTTACTTGTATTAAGATTGGCTGTGATACACCAGGAGCAGATATATATTATACATTAGATGGTTCCCCTCCTACGTTATATTCTGATACTACCAGAGTAAGTAATTTTATAGTCATTTTTTAAACTCTTATTTCATTATCATCAGGCTGATAATAATCATCTATGTCTAATATTTCTTTGGATGGTTTTAATTAGAAGAACAGTGTAGGATAATAAACAATATCTCAATTATTCATTTTTATACGTCCACATTCATAATGTGAACGTATTATGCCGTCGCCCCTGTCTGTGTGTGTGTGTGTGTGTGTGTATGTATGTATGTGTGTGTGTGTGTCTGTGGTTCGCCTACAGGGCGCAATTCTTCATGGATTTTCTTCAAACTTGGTATACTTATTCCTTATACCCCAAGGAAGATCCCTATTGTTTTTGGTGCATGCCCGACCCCCCGGGGCAGAGCCACGCCCATTTCTAGTATTTGTTTGTTTGTCGTCTACAGGCCACATTTCTTAACTAATAATCTTGAAACTTTGCATACACATTCTTTGTACCCTAAGGAACATCCCTATCGTTTGGGGTGCATGCCCAACCCCCAGGGGCAGAGCCACGCCCATTTTCTTTTTGTGTCTCTGTGTGTCGCCTACAGGCCACAATTCTTAAGTTATCATCTTCAAACTTTACATACTATTCCTTATACCCTAAAGATGATCTCTATTGTTTTTGGTGCATGCCCGACCCCCAGGGGCAGAGCCACGCCCATTTTTTGTATTTCTTTGTCATCTACAGGCCCCATTTCTTAAACGTATCATATTGAAACTTTGCATACTTATTCGTTGTACCCTAAGGAACATCCCTATCGTTTGGGGTGCATACCCACCCCCAGGGGCAGAGCCACGCCCATTTTCTTTTTGTGTGTCTGTGTGTCGCCTACAGGCCACAATTCTTAAGTTATCATCTTGAATCTTTACATACTTATTCCTTATACCCTAAGGATGATCCCTATTGTTTTTGGTGCATGCCCGATCCCCAGGGGCAGAGCCACGCCCATTTCTTGTATTTGTTTGTTTGTCGTCTACAGGCCGCATTTCTTAACGCATCATATTGAAACTTTGCATACTTATTCTTTGTACCCTAAGGAACACCCCTATCGTTTGGGGTGCATGCCCAACCCCCAGGGGCAGAGCCAAGCCCATTTTCTTTTTGTGTGTCTGTCGCCTACAGGCCACAATTCTTAATCGATCGTCTTGAAAAAATTTCATATGAATTCCTTATACCCTAAGGATGATCCTATTGTTTTTGGTGCATGCCCGACCCCCAGTGGCAGAGCCACGCCCATTTCTTGTATTCATTGTTTGTTATCTACAGACCACATTTCATAACGTATCACCTTGAAACTTTGCATGCATACTCCTTCTATCCTAAGGAACATCCCTATTGTTTGTGGTGAATGCCCAGGGACAGAGCCACACCCATTTTCTTTTTGTGTGTCTGTATGTCACTTACAGCCTGCAATGCTTAATCGATCATCTTGAAAACTTTTTTATACTTATACGTTATACCCTAAGGCTGACCTCTATTTTTTTGGTGATTGCCCAACCCCCAGGGGCAGAGCCACACCCATTTTTTCTTTGTGTCTCTGTGAGTTGCCTACAGGCCACGATTCTTAATGGATTTCTTTGAACTTGGGATATGTTTTCCTTATAGCCTAAGGACGACAACTGCATGTCACGACCCCCAGGGGCAGAGCCATGCCCAATTTTTATGTTTATCGTTTACAGGCCCAAATTCTGGATGGATCAACTTGGTATTTGGCATATGTATTCCTTATAGCCTAAGGGCATCAACTATTGATTTTGGTGAATGCCCCAATGCCCAGGGGCAGAGCAACGCCCAATTTTCCCTTTAACGCCCAAAGGCCACAATTCTGAATGGATTATCTTGGAACTTGGAGTACTTATTCCTTATACCCTAAGGACGGCAACTATTTATATTGTTTCCATATCCAACCCCCATGGGCAGAGCCATGCCCAATTTTTGTATTTATCGTCTACAGGCTGCAATTCTGAATGGATCATCTTGGAACTTTGCATATTTATTCCTTATACCATAAAGACAGCAACTATTTATTTTGATAATTGCCCCGACCTCTTATGGCAGTGTCACACCCACTTTATTGTTAGTATTTTGTCTGTAAATTTGGGGTGGCTGGGTGGTTAAGACGCTGGCTCGCTAGCCTGGAGGTCGGGTGTTCGATCCCTGCATTGGCCGAGAAAGTTCATCTGGATTTTCCGACGTGGTTTCCCCTTGTCAGTGGTGCAGAACGGAGGGCCTGACAAGGACAGCTGTCCAGTCCTTCGGATGAGACGAAAAACCGAGGTCCCGTGTATACATTAGAATGCACGTAAAAGATCCCTTGGCAGTTGGAATTCGATATAAGAGTAGGCGATAGTGCCGCTGCCCGGGCAAAATTTCCCTCATAGCACACTGTATGGCGTATGCCCGTCTTCATTAGCCCAGTATAGGAGCAGAACAGTAGGACGTTAAACCCCATTTCATTTCATTTCTGTAAATTTGGCAAAACAAACCAGACGCCTAGCCTTCTTTGCCTCTGATCATATTACAGCCATTTCATATTTCATTCTCTTCATTTTAAAAAGTACCATATCAATCAAAGCTGGAATGTGGACGTATATTGCAGCGTTAGCGATGCTCTTGTTATATGTTCACATTCATAATATCAACGTATATTGTCCGCACCCCTGTATGTGTGTCGCCTACAGGCCGCAATTCTTACATGAT